TCTACTTCCGTAGTGATACTGCCTCGGAAACCCAAGGAGGAGTCGCAATGAGTCGGGTCTGAGTCGACGGCACATAATAAGTCTGCTACTGGAGGAGGTCCACAGAGGGAAGTGACACCAACCCTAATGACCCCACCGCCGGAATCCCTCGGAATCCGCGCGCCCGATCGTACCATGTAGCAAGCACTCGGTCTCCCGCAACTCACGCTCCTTCTCGAGCAATAGTTTGGCTACCGCCGCCAGGCCGGGCCTCCTGGCCTGCACCTTCGCTTCAGATCCTGCCTGGTGCTCGAGGAAGGTGCGCAAGGGCCCGCCGCGGGCAAACAGCTCCTCCAGATGTGGACTCAGGCAGCTCAGGGGCCTGGAGACCAGGCCAGGAGCTCCGCCGGACCAGAGGTACCGGGATGCGCCCCATAGAAACCGAGCCCGCATCGCCAGGACGAGCACCCTGGGCCAGACCGGAAGGAAGTTGTGGACAGAACAACTCTCGCGACACTCTAGGGAGTTTAGAAGCGAGCGAGAGTTTACCGCACCCCACCACCTCACAAGACCGGTTTAAAGGGCCTCCCGGAAAATGTGTGTGTGTGTTGAGGGGAGGAGGAACTTCCGGCCTAGCATTAAAGCCTAAGATTAGTCGCCGAGGCCGGAAGCTGAAGGCAGGATGGGAAGCGGAAGGGGCGGGCTTGTTGACAGTCCTGCGGCCCACGGCACATTTAAACACTCAGAATCTCTTCCTGGAAGGACGTGGGTGGCCTACGGGGCAGGAGGGGAGGAGCTTCTGGTTCCTATATTGGTTTCTGGTGGTGTGGATTTCTTTCCCAGGCACTGAACGACGGCTTCAGGTAGCCAGTCAGGGGTCTGCCAGAGACGGAGGTGTCAAGCACGGACGACCTTTCCATTGTCAGCTTGGCCTTTTGTCTCTGAGGGAATTGCAGGGTAGTCTCTACGGTGTGTTTACTCTTCCTATTTTCCTGCTCATACTTCTCTTTTTGGCGGAGGATCAGAGTTGCGTTGATGGGGATGTGACAAGTGTATTCATGGAGTGGTATTGTAAAATCTCCTTTCCTGCCTGTATCTGCCGGGTAACTTTACTTTCTTTCCAACAACTTCCTCACCGAGGCGCTTGCTGGACCGTCTCACACGTTGTTGTTATGTGCCGTCGAGTCGGCCCGGACTCATAGCGACCCCTCCTTGGGTTTGCGAGGCAGTATCACTACGGAAGTAGATTGCCCAACCTTCCTTCCGCTTCTTTTTTAAGAGCCTAAGTGATTGCATTTTCCGAAACTACTGCGCAGCAAAGCTTTCCGAGCCCCTCTTCAGTGACCCAACTCTTCCCCCAAAACTGCAAATGGCGTAAAGGCACAAGGACTTCTGAAGTGTATTGGAATAATGCTTTGCGGTTCGCAAAAGACCTTTTCACAGCCCGCCGGAAGAATGGATATGAAAAAATCAGTACAACCACGACATGCTTTCGAGGTGCTAAGAATATTTGGGGTCTCCCACTACCTAACTGGTTTCTGCAGTGTCTGCTAAGTGGTGAGTGTTTCTGCTGTTGCGAGAGCTGAAAAAGCTTGTAATTTATTCTCTGAAAAATAAAAAAGGAGATCCCTTGAGAAGGCCTAAGATGATATCCTTAAGTCATTTAATCCAAGGTATTCAGGTTAAGTATAAAATTCGTAAATTGAGTTTGCTTTGCCTGTATTCTTCCCTGCACGCTACATACAGAATGCAAAGTGAAGTTGAAGAATCACAGAACTCCGCAAATAACAAAGACCAAACTCCCTGCCATCCAGTGGATTCTGACTCATAGCGACCCCCCTTGGGTTTCCAAGGAGGTGAATCTTTATGGAAGTAGATCGCCCAGTCTTCCATCAGCAGAGTAGCTGGTGGGTTTGAAGCAGAAATAGACTTGCTACTTAGAAGCTCTGTTCTTTAACTGAATTCACAGTCAACCCACCAAAATAAGCCAACCAACCATTGCCGTCCAGTTGCATTCCGACTCATAGCGATCTGTTAGGACAGGATAGAATCGCCCCCATAAGGTTGTCAAGGCTGTAAATCTTTGTGGAAGCATACTGCCACATCTTTCACCACCTGTGCGGGTGGTGAGTTGAAACCTACAGTCTTTTGGTAGCAACTGAGCACTTAACCACTGAGCAGCAGGGAGTGGCTCAAACCATACTACTTTATAAAAATGTTTTTCTTTAGAACAGTGGGAGCTATCACACGTTGTTTTTTAAATTCTGTTCTTAATATAGAACAGGATAGGTCAGTTGGATCACATCTTTATTCATTTTCCAAGTCTAAATTTTTTTTAAAAAAACAATAGACATGCTGGGAATCATTTAACTCAGTGATAAATCTCTCAGCTGAATTCTCAAAAGTCATTTCAATAATGTATAAAAGGTGCCACATTGTAATAAGCAATAACCCTATAGAACATTATAAAGAATCCAACCAAAATTTATTCTTTTCCCTCAGTTGTATAAACACTTCTAAGTAACATGATAGTTGTACCTTTTCTTCTATAGTGTTACACCAATGAGGAAACAGTGACTTGTCTAAGGATACACTGGTGAATTCTTTATTAATTCAAAACATTTTAAGAAACTCAGTATAATGCTTATGCATTTTACAATCATACCCATAGGTTTTCACAATATAGTCAAAACAGCTGTAGTTGGATTTACTTTGAAAATTCAAAAAATATATATACTTAGGGTGAGACTTCTGAATTTTCTTAACATTATTGTCATGCTTAAATTTTTTACATGTTGAAAATCTAACATTTTCACGAAATCTGTTATTGTACATAGGTAAAAAGATAAAATAGATTCAAGGAAGGGGAATGAACAACCCAGAACAACTTAAATTGGAAAAAGTAATCTGGATCATCCAGTCAATTTATGAGTACCATAACCAAGCAAGGTGCCTCTTAAATTGAATTAATGCGTTCAAAACTTCTTTATGGTCCACTGATAACAGTGGACTCCAAAATAATGGATATAGATTATAAAGTACAGTGAACAGTTTAGTATAAAATTATACACATTGAAATACAGTAAAATTTACAGAATCAAACACATTGAAGTATTTTTAATATTTAGCAAACATCTTAAAATCATATACAAGAAACATATTTGTGATAAGTAGAGTAAAGCCAGGAAGAAATATCAAGTCTTTTACATGATTTCACTATTCAGCATTCACTGTTCAGTGGAAGGCAATGTAGAAAAGTGATTATCCATTTAAATTATCTCATGACAGTAAGACTAAGATCTTTACTACCAAGGGATGTAGAGGATTTAACATAATTACACAGGTAGCTCAAGTGGGGAAAGCAGTTTCACCTACATTAAGTGAATATTCACACTAACACTGTTTTGGAGTTTTAATACTTACCTTCCAGCTCATTGTATTGTCTTCATAGCATTCGTTAGTGACCATTTAATGGAATATAGTAGTGTTGAGGAATTTGCTCAGTTTTTTTTTAGCTGAGTATAAATGTCTAGGAAATTTACCGCTGATAATAACCTCTTGAAGAAAATGTCTAACTTAACAATGGAGGGTAACTTTACAGTGGAGAAACCGAACAAACACTGCTTTAGCCAGGTGTTAGAGGTCAACATCAACAATAAATCATGGGGATACTATGTGTTGAGAATGGCACTTGAGAGCATGTGTTGAGAATGGCACTTCTGTGGTCTTTCTTCCAAAAACCAATGACCCTGGTCTAATCATGAGGAAATATCAGAGAAATCCTAATTGAAAGATATTCTACAAAATACTTGACCAGGACTTAAAACTGTCAAGGTCATGAAAAACAAGAGAACTTTGGAAAACTCAGAACTAAGAGGATCCTAAAACTGGACAAGGTGAATAAATGTAATATGGTCCTAGATGGGATTCTGGAACAGAAACAAAGACCAGAGCTAAGAAACATGAACTCTGAGACAAACGCCAACTTGATGATGTATCAGTATTGGCTCATTAACTGTGACAGATGTCCAGTATTATAACATGTTAACAGCCAACTGGGTGGGGGTGGGGGTGTCTCTCACACTACCTTTGCAGTTTATCTGTAAATCTAAAAAGCTCTGCTAAAGTAAAATAATTAAAATCTTATGAACATAAAATCATCTTTTTTCTTTTAATGGAAAAAATTATTAAAGAAAATCATACTACCCTAATACTTAAAAAAAAAAAAATTCTATTCTATGCCAGTGGTAATGTTTTTCAATGGTCAGTCTCATAACTTAGTTTTAGCTCTGTTGTTGGTTGCTGTACAATTCCTTCCTTTATTTATTTATTTGTTAAATTACTGGATATATATTATCCTCGGGGATATTTTTTATTTCTTTTGGAAAATATAATTTTCAAATGATTTATCTTATTTAAACTTTAACTTAAATTTTTAAATAGCTCTGATGTTCCAATAACGATAGGTATTCAGTGTGATATTAGTGAACTGAACACAATTATTTGGCATCACATTGTTGAACGAATAATACCGTATTGATATTTCTGCTATCTTAAGATAAGCTTGGTTTATTGAACCCCAATGGAGAATTAAATGAGATTTTTAAGATAACAACTTGATCAAAAGTGGGGAAAATGTATTAAAATGACATATATAGACATGCTTAAAAAATGGGAATTATTGATCAGAAGAACTTTGATAAAAATAATAATGTGATATATAGCACTTTATTCTTTCCCATGTTTATTTCACTTAATTTTCATGGCTTTACTGTAAATTAAATATGTTCCTCATTTGCAGATGAGGAAATAGACATTAAATGATTTGCCCAAGGTCACATGAGACAGAAATATAACTTGGAATCAGACTTGTAATCTAAATTCCCTGCTTTTTAAAACAATACTCTGTATATGAAATTGCAGACATACTTTTCCATTAGTGAGCAGTATATGTGGCAACATCTTAATACAGAAGGAAGAGCTAGATCTTTAGGAATGATATATACCCAAACCTAGTTTTTAATTTGTGACTATTGTTCTAAAAAATAGATTTCTAACTACATATTTAAAAAATGGAATGCTATTACAGCAGTTCAGTTTAGGTCAACAATTTTAAAGTGTTGACATTTCTAAAACAGAAAAGAGATTATATAAGAAATGATGAGGGTTGAATGAACTTCAGGTGCTTAATATATAACGGGTTAGGATATGTTCTGTTTGGTTATTGTCTTCATAGCTTTCCTTTTCCCACTCATCTTAAAACATGCTATAAAAAACCAAAAAAATAACTCATTGCCTTTGAGTCGATTGACTCATAGCGACCCCTCCTTGGGTTTGAGGTGGTGTCTCTACAGAACTAGATTGCCCAATCTTCCTTCTGAGGAGTGGCTGGTAGATTTGAACAACCAGCCTTCTGGTTAGCAGTCATATGCTTTAGGCACTACACCACCCGAGCTGCTTCTGTCACAGGAAGAAAATTGCTCTCAGAATTGCTTCTGCTTTCTTTCGGGAGGCACTTTTCCCTTTTACAGTGTTTTCATTGGAATAAAATTTTAGTTGCTCCTTGAATTAATCTAAAAACATACCACTTTGGACTGGAGGGGCTGTAACAATTTCTAAAATACTCATAAAGAAATTAAGGATGAGTGTTTGGAAAAAATACTCCATGCTCTGCACTGTTTGTGTTACGAGAATGTAGTAAGAATGTTGCTGGAAAGGTGTGATATCGATTATATTGATAAATATTTGCAATTGTAGCAAGTGAGGGGTTACTAACATTTTTACAGATTGAATACTGTTTTCTCAAAGATTTTATATTTTAAAAAAATTAAAACCTGAAAACACTCAAATATAAGTGATTGCAAAATATACTTTGAATATTAGCATTTTAAACTGTCAATTATAAATACACTGACAAGAAAAGTTTTTAGAAATAATCTTTACCCTTTCAAAATAATTTGCCAGTGTATCATGCTCCATGTGTTCATGTTTGATAGGATTCTATATATAGGCATTTTGGAGCTCCCTAAAAAGTGTTAGGTGGCTTTCAAAAGGGTTCTTATTTTCCTGATTGTATTTTAAGCTCCTTCCTTTTACTTTTTTTTCCCCAAAGCATCTGAAATATTTTTTTGCAAGCAAAATTTGTCACAGTTATAATGACTTACTTTTTTTTTTTAGCATAAGGCAAAGAAAGAAAGAAAAACTAAGCAGGCATTATTATAAATCACTTTAATGGGGTGAAAATGTGTTTTTGCACCTAATAAATAAACATTTACCTATTTATGTAGTCCTTTTGCAAAATGGAACTATCAGGTAAATATACAATAAACATTTCATTCTGTAAGTTAGAACCTAGGCAGCATTAAAGGATCCTAAAAAACACCCCATGCACCATGACCAAGTATCGGAACTGGTTCATACTATGTACATATTTTTAGATTAAAAAAAGAGACCACATGATGATTATGGTCTTGACATTTACACTTCATAACTTTGATATAAAAATTGTGTTTTGCTCTTGTTCATTTACCAGTACACCTGCTATGCTTAGAGCTGCCCTTGTAACACTGTCAGAGCATCTGTACTACGTAGAATAACATTAACAGCCAGCGTCCAGTGCCACCCATTATTAGTGTGATTACATACAAGATCAATCTCCGAAGGAATCTGGCTCTTCACTTCATACATACACATATCTCCTCTGCTTTTCTTTCCATTACTTCTGCATCAGGCACTTTAGAAAGTGCATTAACCTCTTTCTGGTGCATTGGCAGATTCTAACAGTATACAAAGAGACTTTGGCAATCTAAAATAGGAAGTATTCCTTCTAAAGTGCTCATTTTTTCCCCAGGGAGTAATTTACTCACTAGGACAAATCAAATTCTGCTGAAACAAATATTGTGCTCTTGGAATGGTAGCACAGACACCCAAAAACCTATTGTTGAGTCGATTCCGACTCCTGGCAATCCTATAGGGCAGAGTAGAACTGCCCCATATCTTTATGGAAACAGACTGCCACATCTTTCTCCCAAAAAGCGGCCGGTGGGAGCCTTTCGGTTGGCAGTCGAGTACTTTAACCACTGTGCTACCGGGGCTCCTTGCACATAGATGCCTGTCGAGGGCTTTATTTTGTTTGTTTCTTATACCTCTGTAACTTAAACAGAGGGAATTATGCCATATTTAAAAAACTGGTAGTGGCAAATACACATATATACTCAGAAATTTTAAACATTTTGAAATTAAATGGGAACCAACTCCTATCTCCCAAAATAGTTTAGCACAGAAATGCTCACATAGCATGGCTACTAACATCTGATGTGTAAATTTACTCTAGAATCATTCTCAGTACAACTTGCTAATCATATTTCAAAAGGATATACCAATTTCAAAATCTATTCTACAAATGCCCAGGTTAGAGATTAGGGCTCTTTACAAGGGCCCTATCTTTTTCATTTGGTAAAATACTAAAGGTATTGTCAAACAGACAATTCATCTAATAGTCCAAAGTATCTTATAAAGATAACTTACGGCTAGCAGGTCACCATCATATTTAGTACAAGAAGAATATAAAGTCTACATTTAAAAAGATTGATACATGCGTTGTGTCCGAGTATATTACATGTTTTCCAGTCATGTGCACCAATTTATTGTGCCTCAAACACAAACAAGAATGATTTTACACCATATATGTGTATACATCATAGTAGTATAATAAACTCAATTCTAATCAAGACAAAAATTTCAGAAACAATAGACTTCATGGTTAGAAGTGATGATTCTTTTGGGTTTTTCTTCACTCATAAGAAAAAAATAGAACTTTATGTAAACATCTTTATAGCTATCTTTTTCAACATATTACTGAAAATTACTATTCAAATCTTAAATCTCTAATTGACATGGATAAAATATGTCTTAACACAGTAACACTTTCAGACAGAACAGGCATTTATTAAAAGAAATGATTATAAATATTTTCTATCTTGCATTTTAACTACATTTTTATAAATAACGTTTTTAAAAGTGCTGAGTATGGCAGGACAGTCAGCAAGGCCAGTGTAAACAGAACATACTGTTTTCTACTCTGCAAACGTTTTGAATCCCATTTTTCAAACACTGCAACAGTTAAAAGATTTGCATAGGGAATAGATAATAGCCCTTTTAATCATATCTCCTGAATTCTATAGAAACTAGAAAATCAAATTCACTTAAAAAAATTCCTTAAATGTTTTAAATTCATGGAAAAAGAAACTTACAATGCCAACCTTCAAGTAAAATAAAGTTAAAAGGAAAACCCCAAACTTGTTTTTTTTAAAAATATGTTTAATAAATTAAAAAAAATGAGAGGTAGTTAAAAAAATGACAAAGAAAACCTGTGATTTTAATATTATCCTTAATATAAGGCTAGTGTTCTCAGTAGATATAAAGATTTTTTTAGACTTTCATTTTAGGTTACTCAGTGTTATATTCATGCAGTTTAAGATGTAAAAAATAGCCTCCAGGGGATATTAATATTCAAATGTAATGGTTAATACAAACATGACATTGGTTATTATTATTTTTTATACATAACGGGATACTGTTTTCTCAAATGTCAAATGTACATGCCAATGTCAGGCAAGTATTTTGTTTTTAAGATTTAGTGGTATTTATAAAAATTAATATGTCAGCTAGAAGGCTTGAGCACTAGAGTACCTTTAATTATGGATGAAATTAATAGTTTGGTTTGAACATTTATAAAATAAGTTCTTATGATACTATGTGAAAACAGTGAAGGTCTGGAGTAGAGAATCATCTTTTTCATAACCCTTATAAAACTTTTCTTGGTTAAAAAAAACTTAGCTTTTCATTGGATTTCAGTTTCAAGGAAAATATGCCCATCAGACAGATGGTAGTCATCAGAATGTTGTATGCTACATGTAGGCATTCCTTTATTCAATTCTTCATGTTCCACAACTAAGTTAGCAAGCTTTTTGTTATTTTTTTCCTGCTGAAGTACATAACTTTACACAACCATTTTAGAACTGGAGAACCAGTCTTTAATAAATTAATTACAGTATTGGACATCTGATATATACATAGATTTTTTTTTTCTATTACAATTAAAAACAATATCACTTCATTGATTTGTCATTAAGATAGGCTAGCTTCAAATTGTTTTGTGCTTTTTTTCTTCTTTTTTTTTTTTCCCATAGCAAACTCTTCTGTAATGAAAATGCCACAGTTTTGGCAGTGAACAACCAGAGGAATCACCCCCCCCCCTTAGGATTTTCCAACAGTTATAAATAGCTCTTTTTTTTCTTATACAGAAATATTGGCTTCAAAATTAGTGTACTGAACACAGTATATAGCATGTTGAATATCATTGTTAGGTTTTGTAAAATTGGCTTTTTCTGTCTTAGATTGAGTTAAAAAATGCAAACCATAGCCAGTTTTTGGAATTATTTCTATAAGACCATATTGCACAAAAGTCCTTAAATACAGATATAAGTTATGACATTGGATTAAATATTACAACAACTATGTGGCAAACGAAGCAGTTTTACTTTGCACATGCAGTGTCTGCCAATACACTAGGAGACTGTTCATAGGACTACAAATACAGTTTGCTTGCAAGTAGATGAATTGTTGAATAAAACAAACTTAATTTGGCAATTCTTGTTGTAAGTGGTATTTTCTCCAAACTTAACCATGGATAACCCTGATAAAAATGGAGACAAAGATCATAATGGGTGTATTGTTTTCACAGTAGCCTGAGGAATGCTAAACTGTAATTCTCCAGGAACTCAGTGTCTGATGTTTATTTAACTACTTGTACTCCCCGTCCCAGCCCTCCAAACTCTTTTTTTTTTTTTTAATGAAAATTAAGATTCAGAAGCAGTGCCAGCAGCAGTACTTTCAACAAGTGACTTATAAATTTGAGAGTTCAAAAACCTTGGAAAAGAATCTCTGTGCATTAAGGTATATATCTGGAGTTGGGCATCTTCGTACATGTGAGGATTAGGATCCAAGAGATTTCTATTGATCACCTCTCTAACTCGAGAATCGAGACTGACCTAAAAAGAAATAAGAGCAGATACATTTAATCATGTTTTTTTTTTTTTTTTTTAAAGAACACCTCACATAATTTAACTATAGGTTTGTGACATTTCAGTGAGACTTCAAAGAGTCAGTCCTAACTACCTGAAAATTAGGTCATCTTTTCAAAGGCTATAAACTTTAGTATACCTTTTTTCCTTCGAAGGTTGAATTCAACTTTTTGATACTAAAAGTTTCATTCCGATGATGTGGCTGACTTGGATTTATCTTTTCTGTGCATTCACTCGGGTGTCTGACAATTTTGTGTTCATTGGTTGAGGTGTTGTCAATTTCCAAGCAGTATAAATTGACCTCCTCCTACTGTGTGTCTGCTGGAAATGACTCTCTCCAGCAGAACAATGTAAAAATCTATTAGCAGAGAAAATTTTCTAGAAAATGAATCATTTATCAAATGCTGATTCCCAGTAGTTTCACACTCTAGCAAGTCCTACTGTGGCAAAAGTAGGAAACAGGATGTGAAAGAGCCCTGTTGTATAGCAGCTCAGCAGATGTGCTTCATGCCTTACCTCCCTTAGAGAAGGCATGGGGAAACATTCTGATATAGGAAAAAATCCAGAGATCTCTGTACTAACAATAAAATAGAACAAGTTCTTGAAGTGGAATCTTTGAAAGAAGTAATGTAGGAATTCCTGATACTCAGTAATCAATATAGTGTTATTTGAAAAGTGTATAAACAGGTAAATTCTGTGATGATTCAGTTATTATTTTTCCCCATGAAATGCCATTCCTGTTGGAACTGGTAGGACTTGTTGGAAAAGGGAGCAGTGAAAAATAAAAACCCTACAAGCTGCAATGGAGCTCCGGTAGCATAGTGCCTAAGGCACTTGACTGCTAATCAGATGGTTGGTGGTTCAAACCCACCAGCCACTCCTCGGAAGGAAGGTTGGGCAATCCTACTTCCGTAGTGATACTGCCTCGGAAACCCAAGGATGGGTCGCTATGAGTCGGGGCCGACTCGACGGCACATAACAACAACAACAACAACATAAGCTGCAATCACTCAGAATCCTGATTGGTTTCTAAATCTTCATTACTGAGCAAGGACTAGGACATTGTAATCCTTAGTGTGTGTGTCTCTCCATATACTGAAATATGTACACTTTTCATATTTATATCATAAGCATTTTGTGGAAGTTTTCTTAGTTCTGGCTTGTTTTTCCACCCACTGGACTAAGTGTGGGGCTTGAAAAAATTTCAAGTGACTTCAGTCACGACCCCTGTTCCATCTGGAGTCCACAGATTTCAGAGCTGTACAGACCATATGAAGTTGCAGTGATTGCTATACCCCCAGGCAGGGTGTTATGGGAGGACTGTGAAGCGATGGGGATCTAGAGTAAATTTCTGTGCTTTAGCTAGCAAAAAAAAAAAAAAAAAAATCTTCTTGGCTGAACTATATATTCTTGTCAGGTATTCTTACGGTGGGGGGCGGGCAGAATGTTCTAGAAATGGGTCATTTAGTTTTTATCTTCCATGTTATTCTCATATGAAGTCACCATCAAATAATTTTTTTTTTCTTCTTATCCTCTAAGCTTTCTATTTTATCTAAAATATCTTTGTGCTTCCCCTCAACAGGAAAATGTTGACACTGGAGTTTGAACTGATTCATCTTATTACGAATTGTGTTATAAGGTGATGTCTTACAAAACACACTCCGGAGTATTCTTACTTTCCAACTTGAGAGAATTTGTTTCAGTTCAGAAGGTAATGTTAGATTAGTTATAAAGAGGCCCATTTCTTTTTAAATAATAGTATTATTAAATATAGTATATTGGTTACTATCAACAGCTGGAATCTTATTAGTAATCTTAAAACACAGAAATAAAGAGTTCAGATTACTGAATGTCTTGAGCCCTTGTTGTTGAATTCCATTTTTTAAATTTCAGAAACAGTAGTAAATAAGGTAAGGAAAGTAGTGACACTGAACATACAGTAATCCTTACAAAAATGCATATTCATGTTATTTACATTTTAAAGATAAAATATTTACTTTAACATCTGGTTTTTGTTTGAAAAGGATCTCTGGTAGCATAGTGCCTAAGGCATTTGACTACTAACCAGAAGGCCAGTGGTTCAAACCCACCATCTACTCCTTGGAAGGAAGGTTAGGCAATCTACTTCTGCAGTGATATCAACTTGAAAACCCAAGGAGGGGTTGCTATGAGTCAGGTTCAACTCAATGGCAGTGAGTTTGGTTTTGTTTGAAAGGGTTGTTGTAGAGAAGTCAGATAACAAGGACAAAATCCACAGTTATAACAATCTAGAGTTTCATCTTGTTGCATCTTTGTGCTTCAGAATATGGAACTTCTATAATACAGATTTGTCATGGATTGAATTATGTCACAAAAAAATATGTATTGTAAATCCTAACCCCTATGCCTGTGGTTGGGAGCTCTGGTGGCATAGTGCCTAAGGCATCTGACTTAATAGAAGGCTGGTGGTTCAAACCCACTGAGCCACTCAGAAGAAAGATTGGGCAATCTACTTCCATAGAGATACCATCTGGGAACCCAAGGAGGGGTCAGTGTCAGTCAGAAAATGACTGGAAGTCAGTGAGTTTTTTTTTTTTTTTTTTGAGTGCTTGTGGTTATAATCCCATCTGGAATGGGTTGTCTTTGTTATGTTAATGAAGCAAGATTAGCATAGGGTGTTTCTTGAATCCGTGTCTTGAGGTATAAGAAGAGATTAAACAAGCCAGCCTTGGAAACCCAAGGAGGGGTCGCTATGAGTCGGTCGACTTGACGGCACATAACAACAACAGCAAGAGGAGAAATGGAGTAAGATAGATGCCAAGGCACATGAAGATCTCCAAGGAACCAGGAAGCAGAAGCTGATGGGAAGAACCTCCCTACAGAGCCAACCGAGAGAGTGCACCTTCCCTCAAGCTGGCACTCTGAATTCAGGTGTCCAGCCTCCTGAACTGTGTAATAAATTTGTTTGTTAAAGTCATCCCCTTGTGGTATTTCTGTTGTATCAGCACTAGATAATTTAAGATTTTGGTACCAGGAGTGGATGTTGTTCTGAGATACCTAAAATGGGGAAGTGGATTTGGAAATTGGGTAATGGGTAAAAGCTGGCAGAGTTTTAAGGTGTCCAGTAGTAAAAGCCTTGAAGAGACTGTTGGTAGAATTATGGACATCAAAGGTAATTCTGATGAGGGACCAGAAGAAAGTGAAGAGAGCTATAGAGAAAGTCTTTATTGTTTTAGAGGATACATATGGTGCCAGCACCAGAATGTTGCTTGCTAGAAATGTGGACATTGAAATTGCTTCTGGTGAGGATTTACAAGGAAATAGTGAACATGTGATTGGACAGTGGAAGAAAGGTGATGCTTTTTATGCAGTGGCAAAGAACTTGTTTTATATTCAAAATGTTTGATGGAAGGTAGAACTTGTAAATGATGAACTTGAATATCTGGCTGATGGGCTTTCTAAGTAAGATCTTAAAGGAGACTTGTGGTTTCTTCTTGCCACTTAAGTAAAATGTGAGAGGAAAGAAATGGACTTAAAAATGAAATGTCAATCTGAAAGCAGAACTGAAAATTCTGTTGTACAAATTAAGGACAAGTATCCTAGAATGTTCACCAAGGACATGGCTACACAATCTTGTTTAAAAAGATTGAGCCTGTGACTGATGGATCTAACTAGCTACTACAGGAGAAAAACCCATCATTAAACTGATCAAAAACTCCAAACTCCTTGCCATTGAGTTTGTGACTTACAGTGATCCCTTTTGGGTTTCCAAGGTGGTAAATCTTTACGGAAGTAGGTTGTTCAGCCTTCCTTCTGAAGAGTGGTTGGTGGATTTGAACTGTCAACCTTCTGCTGGTTAGTAGTCAAATGCCTTAGGCACTATGCCACCAGAGTTCCTTGATTAAACTGAAGGGGACAGGAAAAACAAAAGGAAAAACACTGGCTACTCCTTGGAATTCTACAGGCAGGAAACAGGCCAAAAGAGCTACATCTGTTGTCCTCCAAAAAGAAAAGCACTATTCCAGGAGCAGGAGCTCTGGTGGCCTAGTGCCTAAGGTAATTGACTGTTAATTGGAAGGCTGGTGATTCAAAGCCACCAGCCACTCCTTGGAAGGAAGGTTGGGCAATCTACTTCTGTAGTGATAATGCCTCGGAAACCCAAGGAGGCGTTGCTATGAGTAGGATCGGACTTGACGGCAGTGAGTTTGGTTGGGTTTGGTATTCCAGGAGCAGCTTGAAGATCAGCAGAACTGTTGGAAGAAACAAAGGAAGCAGGGCTTTCTAAGTTCAAAGGGTGGGATCAGGGTCTCCTGGATCTCAAAAGGTGGGGCCACAGCCTCTTAGGTGTGAAAGAGTTGGATCTTAGTTAACTTTGTTCTGGAATGTAGGGTTGCCCTGCTGTTAAGGTGTGCCAGGGGAATGAGGCCTCCTGCAAAAGCTGAGGGAGTGGGACTCCTATGCCCAGGGGCCAAAGACCAAAGCTTGCTGGGGCCAAGGGGGTGGGGTCACCACTCATGGACTAGGAGAAAGGGGCCGCCCAAAGCTGTGGGAGCAAAATTGCCATCTCAGTGGGTCTGGAAGGTGGATCTGAAGCCCAGGGCCTAGAGGTCTCCACCCAGGATCCTGAGGAAGTGACCAACACCTAGGGTCTGGAGGGTGGGGCAGTTGCTCAGATAGTCTCAGTGAACAGAGGGTATTTTCAAGCACGGAAAGCTAAATTTGTCCTGCTGAGTTTTGGACTTGCTTGGTGTCTATTATCCCTTATTTCCCTCCAGTTTCTCCCATTTATGATGGAAATGTTTACCTGTGGTAGTTTCACTATTGCATTTTGGAAACAGATACCACGTATTCTAGATTTCACAGGTTCACACGTAAAGAGGAATTTTGCCCCAGGAAGGAATATGACTAAATTCTTGCCCATATTGATTGAGATGATTCAGAGGATGAGATTTTGAACTTGGAGTTGATCTAAGATTTTGGGATGATGT